ACCTCATGAGATTGAGCCCAGCCCCACTGCTAGAGGCAGGAAGTATGCAGGGATCAGATGATTCCAGCAAGATAAACATCCAAATGCTTTTTGAATGAGTCCAGAGTAGGTGCTTGCATGGGGTGCCCTGGTGAACAGACATTCTCCAATGCACACCCCTTATATATTTATAGGCTGCCACCAAGGCACCCCCCCATAGCCTATGCTTTTCCAGGCTGAAGAGTTCCACACCTCTCGGCCTCTCCTCATAAGGCCTGCTTCTCCTGTCCTCTAATCATTTGCATGGCTGTCCTCTGGACTCTCTCGAGCTTCTCCAAAGGAGAAAAGTTAGAGAAAACCACCCTGTTTTCTCTAACCATACACATGGAATCTGCTGGACTCTTAGTCTCTGGCCAACTCCCACAAGAAAGGCATTCCAGGCAGGGTCCTCAAGGCCCACTGTGCTCATCCTCTGTCATCATCAGTCCTGTACTTTTGGATTATTTTTTAAAGGGAACCAAAGGCTTCTAATGATTCACCGATAACTGATTTGCTATGCTATACTCTCCAAACTGTAAACATAAGTGATTTTTAAGTGTATTCTTTATTCAGTCACTTATTTTTTCCACTAGTTCTAATCTTCCCCCCCCCCTTTACCTTCTGTACCTATTTAGACTGTAAGCAGACTAGGGGACAGACTGACTTATGTTTGTGCAATTAGCACCAAAATAGGACACCAATCCTGATGGCAGCCTCTGGGAATTACTGCTATAATTCAGCCATTCCTCAGAGAGGCCACCATGTTACATTTTCAGCATTGACTACAGCAGGGGTGGGCAAAATGTGGCCAGGGGCCAGATGCAGCCTGCCAGGCCATTCTACCCAGCCCACGGTGCCCCTAAAAAATTTAGAAAATTAATATTAATCTGCCCTGGGCTGCCTATCACGTGGCCCTCTATGGCTTGCCAAAACTCAGTAAGCAGCCCTCTGCCCAAAATAATTGCCCGCCCCTGGACTACAGTTTATAACTGTAGAATGAGAAGATTTTGATAGGGGAGGAACACATGTTAATGTGAGGCTAACTCAGTTTCTATTCATGAGTAGGATTTAACTTGGATTGTATGTCATTGGTTGCTGACATTTATATTTTCCACGCAAGTAATTCATGCATGTAAAGTTTGATGCGAGTGGACTCTGGCAAACAGAGTATTAAACTTGATGCACAGTGAAATCATCCATGTCAAAGCTCTTTGCCTTTCCCAGCACATCATAAAAACACTGAATTGACTAACTCCACTAGAAGGGGGAGACTTATATTTTGCTGAGGAAAGGACTGGGGAGGAAATTAGAACCCTCCAGAACAAAGGTTACTATCCATCCTTTCATAGAGGCTAAAGCCAGAAATGGCCATTAGTTCATTTAGTGTGACCTCCTGTCTATCCCACACTGTTACATTTTACCCTGTTACACATGAACTAAACCCAATCACTCACATTTTACCCTGTTACACATGAACTAAACCCAATCACTCACATTTGACCAAAGCATATCTAGCATTTGCAGAAGTCCAGATAGAAAAGGTTAATCCCACAGAAAAAAATACAGGAACTTTCAGCTATATATGGAACCTGTAAACTCAGCAGGAATTCAAAAGGCCTGTATAGAATAAATATGAATGATAATTCCTGCTTTCTCCTTATAATTTATTGGTGGTAGCACCAAAAGTCTCAGGTGGGAGCATCCTAGTAGTTTGTGAGCACAAAAAAATGTGAGACCTGCTGTAGCGAGTTTACAACCACATCAGACTATGGACAAAATTATTTCCAACTTTCAAAACAAAAAACCCCAGAACAAAAATATATATATATATATATGCCACTTTATGCACTGAAAATAATTCACCTGAATTCTCTTTCTATTGTAAAGTTAGTTTTACCCAAAGAATTTAAAGTTTTTAACTAAAAATTACATTTGGCTTAAGTCATCTTAAGCTCTTAAAGTATCTTCTGCTTTCTTCTTTTTCCCCCTAAGAATTTGTAGTTAAAAAAAAAAAAAGGTTGTTCAGACCTACACAGAGGACAAAACCCACAAAGTAGTTCAAAACTGAGGTTGCTAGATAAACTAAGCATTGCAAAAGCAACATTCATCCCAAACAGGTATCCACTCTCTCTGTTCCCTCCTGTGAAAGAGAAACTGCTCCCCGAGGCAACCATTGGCTTTAGGGCAGTTAAACTCTCACCCTGGGGGTGTTTTCCCTGCTCGTTACAGGGAAAGGGAGAGGAGCAGGAGACGAGGACCTTGTAGGCCTCAGGAAGAAAGAGAAACATAATACAGGCAGTAGCAAAGAAGGCCTAAGAGCCAACCTAAACCAACGCAGCTGGGATATGGGAACATTGCAACATTAGATAAAAAGATGGCAAATCTGGCAGAAACCACTCCTCCTTCCCCAAATCCCTCTTGCCCTATAGCCCTATGAGATGCCCAACCAGGGACTCTATCCTAATGACTAACAACATCAGTCTGGTTCATCTGAATCAAATGGGGGGG